TCCATGTGCCCCCAGATGTGTCTGTGTTCAAACCCCAGCGTCAGGAACTGTGGACAGGGCTGTACTTGGAAAAGGGTCTTCGCAGGTGTGATGTAAGGATCCCGAGATCACCCCAGATCACCCAGCCCTGCATCCGATGACAAGTGTCCTTGTAAGAGACAGGAGAGGCACAGACACGGGAGAAGGCGCGTCGCCGCAGAGGCAGAGGGACATGGCCACAAGCCCAGGGACCCCTGAGCCGCCGGGAGCTGGGAGAGGCAGGAAGGACCCGCCCCCGGAGACTCCGGAGGGACCGTGGCCCTGGGACCCCTTGATGTCAGATGTCTGGCGTCCAGAGATGCAGGACAACTAATCTGTGGTTATAGGTCACCCAGATTGTGGCCACTGGTGACAGCAGCCCCAGGACAGTGACACAGGGCGGGGTCCATGTTTGCTCAGCCCCTGCCACCCATAGGACACCCACAGGTCCCTGAGGGCTGGGCTGGGAGAAGCATCCCCACCGTCCGCCAGCCTCCCACTGCCCGGCACCCGCACCCCCAGTAGAGCTCACCCACTGCCGGCCGATAGCCGGGGTCTCCTCGGCCTCTGTTATTTGTAACACCAATCTGGGGAGACAGAGCGGCTCTCAGAGGGGCCTCCTGGGGTCTACACCCCCCAGCCCTCTGGCTCCCCGTCAGGGCCTGGCCGAGCGGGCGTCCCGGGAAGCCACGGCCTACCTAGGTATCTCATTTCGACCATGTTTTGTGGGCCAAGTCCGTATCTTCTGCAGACCCTTTTAAACCGGTCCAGGAAGCTCTGGGACAGGTCCTGTATCCGTCCTGAGGACAGAGCGGCAGGGAGGGGCTCCCTCACTGTCCTTGTGGGAGTGTCTCAGGGGCCTTGGCCACGGGGAGGCCGCCCCGCCCCTGAGATGGGGTCTAGCCATGAGTGGGGGTTTGGGAATGACCCCTCCCGGGATGGGGGGTCCAAGGGAGCCCCGCCGGGTCCCCAGGCGGTCGGCAGGCCTCGGGCGGTACCGTAAAGAGCCAGCACTTGGGTCCGGGTGCCGTTCCTGACGTTGAGGAGGTAGAAGGTGATGTACAGCTGGTAGTCGGTCTCCGAGATCAGGACCCTGTTGTCTCCCTCGTCTGCGTGGAGATGAGGCTCAGAGCGGCCCTGGCCCTGCCCTGTCACCGGCACCCACAAGCTAGGCACTGGGGTGCCGCGTGGCGAGGGGCTGGGCGCTGGGCCAGGAGGTCTTGGCTGGGTGGGCGGTGTGAGCACACGGCACCCGCTTGGGTGGCCCAGCCTCAGGCCCACCAGCGCTCGCCTCCCACGGGGCCTCCGCTGGGTTACGTGCTAGGCTGGGGCCTCAAGCCGTCAGGGCCCCATAAGACCCCCTAAACCAGCAGAGGCCCAAGGGCGGGAGCGTCCACTTACAGGCCAGGGTGTATTCCCCGCTCTTCTCTGTCTTCTCGCAGACGATGGTCACGTACACACAGTCCCCGTTCAGCCTGCACACGGGCCCGGGTGA